TTACCTTCAATCTCCACCCTGTTCATCCATTAAATCACCTCACTTGCAACCTTCTGCCTTTTCATCGGTGAAGGCATTCCTGCTTGAAAGATCCTCTCTTCCATGCCAGTCTCCTTTTCCTTCAAAACTTCGGCTTAAATCCTCCTATCAAGTATTTCAATACTAGCACATCATAAAATGTTTCATTCAAATGCAGTGATTATCTCTCATCATTTTGCTCAACTGTGCATTACATGTCAGCATTGTTTTGTTGCATTTTGTCCTGCTATTATTATACCCTGCAATGTATTCAGGCTCTATAGCAAAATAAGAATGTTGAAAGTTGATGGTACAAATGTTGCACTCCCCACGAGGATCATGCTGTGCAATGCAGGGTTATTACTATTCAAGAAGACAGTGTATGAACACTTGTGTGTGACACCTTATTTCAGGACACGTACCTTACAGCTTGGTTCACCTTATCCAAACACTGCATAGACTGCTTGTACACTTGAGGGCATTCGGGGGTGTGCTTTGTATTACCAAGCAAGTGCACAGGTAGGCAGAAGAAGACCTTGTCCAGGCACACATGATAATACCCATGAGAGACTGAATGCGCACGCATGGTTTCCACAAACCTCAAAGGCTGCGGAGCACAGTTCCAGAAGGTCCAGAAGTCCCAGTGTGTTTAGACAAATACCTGGGGATGCTCTAAGCAGACAGCCCGGCCCAACAAAGCAAGTCAGTTGGTACAGAGTGCACAAAATTTTTTCAGAATGGCTCCACAGCTCCACCAGATCTCGTCTGCAAACCAGAGGAAGTTCCTGAATTCCCCGTTTCTCATATGGATTCCACAAATAGAAGCCACATTTTCAATTTTATTATGAAACCTGAGCACTTGCTTCACCAGTAATTCCTACAGCCTTCTTGAACAAGGAGCATGCCTTTAGAAAAGAGATTTGATTATGCCCTTTACATAGCACAGATCACATTTCTCTATTGTTCGTGCATCGGTAACAGCTGCAGACCTACTATAATCACATCAGGAAAGTGGAGAAAAGTGAAAGGCCTAACTTCTTGCCACTGTCTGTTGTGCCCATTAGAAGCAAAATTAATAAGCCAGTTGAATTCTGTAGAGGAAGTTAAACACTAGCACTTAATTTTTTTCCTTGATAATTTATTTGCAATTTTCCTTGATCACTTTATGAGAGAGTGTAGGGAAAACAGCATGCAGCAATGAATTAGTCAGATGCAACCATAAATACTTAGGAACTTTTGTGTCATAAGACACATAACAGAACATAAATACCATGTCCTAGACACAAAATAGCTATTATATGCACTAACCAAATGAGTATTAACCTCCTTTTTCTTCCTTGATAGACATTCCTCAATTCCCTTCCCAGTTTTCCTCATCTTCCTCCACGTGAACTCACCCAGTCTTTTGCTGAATGCATATTGCACTTGGATAGTCTGGCTGTCATAGGGACAGAATACCTAACTCACTATAGAAAATGTCATTCTATAACCCAGATTCTTCTTCCAAGAAGATTTTAACTTCCAAGAATGCTAAGATGTTCCAAAGTGCAAGCAGGTCATTTAGCTGATACATAGAGAGATTCCAAAACCAAATCAATTTCATGCTTTGGTATTTTCTTCTTCTAATCTTAGTGAGTCAATCAAGTAGTCTCAGGAAAAGGGAAATAAGTGTTCACATACTGTTTTGTAAAAAAAAAAAGAACACAAATGAAACAGTTCTTCCTTTTGCTAGCTCACAGTTTCTGAAGTCCCTCTGTAAATATATTTTTCTTCTCGTACTCCTATGACTCTACTCTTAGAAAAGAGATGGGAACCAAAACAAGCAATAAAACGCCCTCCTCCCTAAAAACACAATTTAAATCATAGTTTTGCATCATGCTGAAAACGGACACAAAGCATGTAGTTCATCTAACTCCTAAAAAACATTTGCTCTTTTTATACAGCTCTTACCTTGAAGTTTTGCAAAGCGCTCACAAGAATCACAGCAAGAAATATATACAAGACTTAATTCTTATATCAGAAGATCCATACCAACATACCCATTATAGCTTTTGTAGTTGATCCTGAGGGTAGCGAGACAGTTGGTATTCCAAATGACTATTTCAAGCAGAGCATTTTAAAAATAACCTTAACTCTGTCATACCCTTAACGCCTTGCAAATACTGCACAGAGAAAGGTGTCATATGTCAGTACTTCAATTCTGACTGTGCTACTGCAGCTCAGGGTCATAGAGAGCAACAACAACAAAAACAACAAAAGGTCTTTCTACAAATACTAAGGTGGAAAGCAGCAGTAGAGTTCAGCATGAAAATGTTAATGTGTGTTCTGTTGAGTGGTTTCCAGATTGGGACTGGTCATAAACTAAGATACTACAGGAATAACACTGTCAATTTATTTCAAATACAAACCTACCAAGTAAGAAATTCTGCTAGGAAAAAAAAAAAAAAAAAAGGAAGACAATTCAGTGTGTGGTAGAGGAGCCACCCAGGAATCCAGAATATTCAACCATGAGTTTTAGATACAGCTGTCAACCTATTGTGAGTAGTAACCACATAGGAAAACATATCTGCCATTCTTTACGCCCTGCATCCATTTCAGGTCTTCAGTGTAACCTCTCTAGAATTTACAGATTTCCTCTTTCTTTTATTTGAAAACATTCACTGTTATGCAAATATACAATGTCTTTATGAAAGGAATCACAAATGTGGCAAATATAAACCCCTGAAACCATGTCTTCTTCCATGGCATTAAACGAAATTCTATTTGTTTATGGCAAATTATTTTATTTTGTAGAAGAAATACTTTCAAATAATACAAAAATGACACAATCATACAGAACTGTGACAAAAACAAGAGAGATGAATACTGAATATGATAACTCATTACCACATCAAGACAGAACTCATTACAGTAGTCAGAATCACAGACTCACGAGATAAACCGATGACGTCTCACAGCGGTCACTAATTAAAAACACCAACAGAACCCCCTAACAGAGAAGCCGCCAGACATCGTCCCTTTGTTATATGGTCAGAGATCAATTTAGGGTGGGAGGAAGGTTCCTATCCCAGCCCTTGCACAAGGTGGGTTTAATGCAACCAGGCTGCCCTGGAACATACCCAATCAAGTCCTCGATCCCTCCATGGACAGAGAGCTCATAACCTCTCCGGGCAACCTCTTCCAGTATTCAAACACTGTCATGAGAACACGGTGTTGTCTATTCTTAGCACAAAGCAAGTATTTCTGGAAGCACTGCATGGTAACTTAGGATAGATACTACTATGAAAGGGCCTCCACTGATCATGAGACATGAAATTCTGACCAACTGATCATTTCAAGCAACAAGCACTTGAAAGCTTGCTGTCCCTAGACTTTTACCCAAACACTAACAACTTCTTATGTGATTTACTTGTTTTTTATCTGTATAGTTTCTTAAGCACTAGTTTAAAATTGACTGTCTTTGCAAATCATCCTCATTGAGTAATGACTGAGATTTCTGTCCAATACCTGTGGCCTCAGATTGAGCAAATAAGAAGCAACTCAGCTTCACTTTCAGGTTTTCCATACTTTTGACACACTTACAGAGTATGAGCTCTTGATACTCACAAAGAACGCTTGCGAAATATTTTAAAGTACTCCCATTGATCAGAGGTTTTCATGAGTCTGCTTAGTTTCTGACTGCTGTTGCTTTGGTTTCCTGGCATAAAAATTTGAAGCCAATTTGACCTGGGCATATCCCCTTGATGAAAAGAGAGCATGATCTTCTTTCTAGGCAATTCTAGCAATTTGCAAAGTTAGTCTTGTGTTGGGCACCTCTTTTTGTAGGTAATGCATAATTAGAAAAATACGAGAAGCTCTATTATAGTAGCTTAGTAAAGAAGTATTTTTACATACTTGCAGGATGCAAGGACACAAAACTGGCATTCTCGGGAATGCAGAGCGACAGTCTTTCATGACAATGAACAAGTAAAATTATTTTTACCAGATCTCAGCTCATCCAACCAGCAATCAAATGAGCTGTATCTTCCAGAATTATAACTTCCTTCCTGGAAAGTGTCACTGTTCAAAAGAACTCACATGCAGTAACCTCAAAGCATATCCTTTAGAAAGAATACGTGTTTAAGCACCCTTCCTTACTGCAGCTGCTTTCTGAAATTAGCACGTATTCCTGAATCAGGTCAGAATCTTGAAACTGTAGGAATTGCTGTATCCCTTTAGCAGTTTAGCTAGCTCACAGAGCTCTCTTAACTCCCTTTCCCTTAAACAGCAAAACAAAGATCTGTCACCCTTTTCCTTCCTCCGTTTAAGTTGAGCATCTAGTTAAGAATATAAAGATATTTTAGAGACAACCGAAATGAAAACATTCTATTAGTGCACAGTAAGAACATGCAAACGAATTCTGCAGTGTTTAACGTCGCTTCTAATCACTGTTAAACACACTGCAGGTGATAATATTTTGCTATGACAAAGACGCTGCTAAAGGATACAATGTACATAATAAGCTACAGATAATAAAGCTGAAAAAAGTGACAATTTTAGAACATAGTATTTTCATTTCAGGTATCAGAAACAAAACCAGCTCAATGGTTCCATTCTACTGTATGACAAATACTGAAGAACAAAATTTCAGTCTCAAAATACATCTTAAAGTAGGTATTTTCCTTCAAGGAAAAAAGGCACTATAAATAAATTACACTACAGTGAATTTGCCTGAACTCACTTTGTTTCTGTCTTCCAGCCTTTAAGTCAAATAAAACAGCATAAAAACTGTACACGCTCTTAACAGGATAGTCGATCTTTTATAAAATAAGTTGTCTTCAGAGATGTCAATTTCACAACAAGGAAAAACCAAGCCTTGTTGCAGTCGCTATTATAAAATATATATATGTATATATATTTATATATATGTTTTTGTTTACTTTTACTTTTTTTCCTTTTTTTATTTTTTACAAAATGTGTATATTAGCTTTTGCACTTTTGTTTGTTTGCTTTTTTTTTCTTTTTTTTTTTTTTAAAGAAACTTGGCTAATCTAATAACTTCATTAAAATAAAAGCGATAAATACTTCATGTTTACAATGCAACATGTCATACATCATCAGCCGGCAGAGGAGGTATGTTAATCCTTGGTCTTGTAAAAAATGCTATCTTCTCTCTGTGATCGAAAAAGATGAAAAGAAGTCAGATGTACGTCACAGAATCATAGAATGACCTGGGCTGAAAAGGACCTCAAAGACCATCTAGTTTCAACCCCCCTTCTATGTGCAGGGTCGCCAACGGAATCACACAGAATCTCAGAATCAGAGAATGGCCAGGGTTGGAAGGGACCTCAAGGATCATGAATCTCCAACCCCCCCTGCCACAGGCAGGGCCAACCTCCCCATTTAATACTAAACCAGGCTGCCCAGGGCCCCATCCAATCTGGCCTTGAACACCTTCAGGGATGGGACATTCACAACCTCTCTGGGCAGCCTGTTCCAGCACCTCACCACTCTCCCTGTAAAGAACTTCCCCCTGACATGCAACCTAAAACTTCCCTCCCTGTCATGCTTTTCCCAACCCCTTGCAATAACCATTTCTTTACTCCTTTATTCATTATTTCTTACTTCTTATACACTGATTTCAAGGCTTACTTGAGTACAAGTAACTTACAAAAAGCCCTCACCGTATACTTTTGGAAGCACTCCCCTGAACACAATTAGTAGTTTTGAAAATTTAGGTGGAAACTTTATAGAATTGGACATCAATTACAGTTCACTCTAAAAAGGTTTAATAGGACGTAAGTCCTCCGTGCAATGCAAAGTTCACCTCTGACATTTTGCAATAATGCCTACAATAACTACAACGAAGACAACATTAAGATTCATCTTGCTTCTCTATTAGACAAACAGTATATTCTGTAAAATAACTGTCATAAGAAATGGATGTGTGCATAAGGTGCAAGAATGTATACAATCAAATATCCTTCACTTCATTCACCTCGTTTTTATCAATTTCTCATGTCATTTTATAAGCACAAAAATTCAGTCATTACCAGAAACAAATGATGTAAAAACAACCCTGAAATTCCCATTCTTCTTAATTCCTCTCCACATCTGTGAAGACTTTTCCAATATTAGAGAACCGACAAGTTTTCTGCTTAAGTATCTCTCATAAACAAATTCTAAAAAATCTGAACATTGTGTAAAACAGGATCATGTAAAACTGCTGCCTACACCCACCCTAAAATTATTTCTAACAATTAATGCTAAATTCTTCCTGTGAAGTGCACACTGTTTATACACAAACTAAATCTAGGAGAGGACACACACTACATGAGCAGAGATGAACAGGAACCGAAGCCCAAAGAAAAGGTTAAAGAGAAAGCTGGAAGATTATTGAGCAATATTCAGAGAAACAGTGTCTCTAATAATGTATATGCATGACACTAAACAAACTGTTCGGGCCTAGAGGACAGCACTGAAGAGCTGAGAAATCGTTTCAACTTAACAGTAGCCAAGCTAAATTGAAAGAATCACCCAAGGTATGCTATATGCACTTGAAGACTCTTTCCTCACATGTTTTAGAGCTGTAACACTGTAGTTTTACCTTAACTTCGCCTCTTTGCACTACAAGTAATTCATAGGAAACTTCATGTGCTCAAATCACTATGTGGTTAAAAATTACTGGCTATTTTCAAGATACACAGAATTTGAGCTAACTACATTAGAGAGCTTTAACTTCTGTTATGAAGTGTTGTTATTTCAGTGCACATTATCACTCACCTAAAAGTCTGCACCTGAATAGGCTCCTTCTGGTTTTTCCCACGCAACTGATATATTTCTTTTGATGCTTTCTTTAGCATCTTTTCAGCTGCTTGCTCCTGGTGATGTTCAAATTTGGTCTGCCGTGTCTGAAAATGAGACAAAGAATATAACGCTAATAATTATAATGTGAATAAATATAACAGAATAATACTCAGGTTTACATGATGGATTGTTTCCAATCACCAGAGTAAAACCGCACCACTACATTGTCTGAAATAGCCGAACATTTAAGAACTATAAGTGCAAGAGACTAACAGTGCTATTTAATTTCATAATGTTCTTCACAATGGTATGCATTAAATCTACTGCACATTGCTCTCTCAAGTAAGACCTCAAAATGAAGATAGGCTCACCCTGCTTCTGATAACCAATGGCTGTTTTGTTTGTTGTAATGCTTCTTGCACTTACTTTCTTTCCCCAAGAAGAGCAAAAATACTTAAGGAACATTTCAAATACTTCTAAAAAGTGAAATATCAAATTAGCAAAATTTCTTTCAGTAATGAAACTGCTAAAGTTCCAGCCATAAAACATCTAAAAGAAAGTGACATGCTCCAGTAACTGTCTTCAAACAAACACACAGTTGGGTAACAATCAATGCAATCATTTTCACTGTGGTAACTTCAAGAACATAGAGGCAACATGAATTATTTGAATTTCCGTAGTAAGTGAATAAATAAATCAACCAGTTCTTTAAAGAAGTTCTTATAATCAAGAAATTTTGAAATGAAATATTTCTAAACAAGTTGAGTGCTACTTCATGTTAGCTTACCTGCCTCTCTGCTTCCTTCAACAAATTCCGGAATCGCTCATCCCGAAGGACCCAGTGGGGCAGATCTGTCTGCCCCCTGAGCTGGGCATCTTCCAGACGCTGTCTCAACTCCCTTAAGACACATATCTCCTCGTTCAGCTGTCTCTGTCTAGTTCTGGATGCCTGGAGATCCAGCTCCAGGTCTAATGATGTTCTTGCCATAAGCTCAGCCAAAGATGATCTGCAGGACTGCTGAGTTATTAGGATTCAAATACAATGCACAGTACATTATTCTCAACATGGTGCACTGGTATATTTCTAGGTACATAGTGCATACATTTTATGTATGTACTTTACACAAAGTTTTTCTTGATGCAAAGATTTGGAGAGATTATTTATACCTCACAGTGAAACGTTAACTAGCTGTAATATTTTTTATACAATAAATATACAATATACAACTTTTTTCAATTAATGCTCTTTACTACATTCCTTTACAGTCTACTTTTGGCTTATAAATATTTAACTAATTTAAGTTTATAAACTAAACTCTTATGTAATGAAAATAAGCAAAGTCATACAATATGCAATACCCATAACTGAATAACAATGCTAGAAAACAACATACTGAGCAATAGATTCACCTCAAAGGAATTTACTCAATATTAGTTTTAAAATACATTCTGAATCAAAATGGAAGACACAGTCATCTACCTACACATAGCAGCAAGTATCTGCTTACCAGGCTAAACTGTAAGCCATTTATCAACATCATATTAACTTCCTATATGTCTTTCTATACTTGCTTACTCTGCATGGTGGGTGGAGAAAGAACTTTAGCTGTGAGAATCATAGAAAGGCTTGGGTTGGAAGGGACCTTGAAGTCTACCCAGCCCCAACTCCTGCCATGGGCAGAGCTGTCCCCCACTAGCTCAGGTTGTCCAAGGCCTCAACCAACCTGGCTTTGAGCACTTCCAGGGATTGAGCATCCACAATCTCACCCCAAAACATGCACACACAAAAAAAAAACAACCCAGAAACATTTTTCCTGTTTTAAGCTCCCTTCAAGTATAGGAAGGCCACAATGAAGTCTCCCTGGCGCCTTCTCTTCTCAACGCTGAACAACTCCAGCTCCATCAGCCTTTCTTTACAGAAGAGGAGGTCCAGCTTTTGAGCGTCCCTGTGGCTCTTCCCTGGACTACAACAGCTCCTCATCCTTCCTATACTAGGGCCCTCAGGTCTGGATGCAATACTTAAGATGGGGCCTCATGAGGACAGAGTGGAACAGGACATTCAGCTCTGATCCCTGCTGACGATTCCTCCTTTGATGCAGCCCTGGATACAATTGGCTTTTCAGGCTGCAAATGCACACTGTTGGCTCACATCAAGCTTTTCACCCATCAGAACTCTCAAGTCGTTCTCTGTAGCACCGCTCTCAAGGAGTCCTTCTGCCAGTCTGAACATGTACCTGGGACTGCCCCAACCCAAATGCAATACCTTGTACTTGGCCTTGTTAGAATTCATTGGGTTCTCATAGGCCCACCTTTCAAGTCTGTTCAGATCCCCATAGTTCGTGAAACCTCACATGCTACTGTCGGGCCTCAAACACTACTGTTTGCTAGGCTGCATGGCAGGGGAGCAGGATGTTTTCCCATCATTCATACACACTTCTGTGGGCCTGCATTCTGTATCATAAACTAGATTTTACAAATTTAATGAAGTTTACATCTAAATCAATACAAATCTAGTGCCAGTTAAACAAGGTTTTGTCTGTCATACCTTGTCTTTTCCTCAACAATCATTCACAATAACGTTTTACTTTCCTATGTCTACTTTTCAGATTAAAACAAAACAAACAACCAAAACAAACAGAAAACAACCCTGCCACTACTGATTGCATTACAGAAGTCTTGCATATTTCCTAAAATGATCAGAACATATATGCTTACATACAAGTACCACTGTTACAGCAACTTCAGTGAAAACCTATTTCCCAGCCATACCTGCTTATACCGAAGAGTACGCCTCTCCAGTGTATTCCGGACAAATGGTGATTTCCTTGGCAGAGTCGAGCTGTCACTGTCACTGCGATACAGCTGAGTAGAAAAGATATTGAATATAAAGCTTGCTAACATCTACATTCAGAAATCAGGATTCTTTTCTTCTTTTGAGTTTTATTACAAAACTAAAACACTGAAATTGTGTAGTTCTAATCAAATGATTTTTTTTTTCCATTTTCAATCACAAGATTGCCTTTAGTTATTTATTAAAAAGAAACATATATAGTAGAGCTGATATTGAAAATGTATAGTCCACAAACACACTGTATGCAACATAAATAACAGGGCTAAACCAAGAAGATTCATAGAATCATAGAATGGCCTGGGTTGAAAAGCACCACAATGATCATCTAGTTTCAACCCCCCTGCTATGTGCAGGGATGCCAATCACTAGACCAGGCTGTCCAGAGCCACATCCAGGCTGGCCTTGAATGCCTCCAGGGATGAGGCATCCACAACCTCCTTGGGCAACCTGTTCCAGTGCATCACCACACTGTGTGAAAAACTTCCTCCTAATATCTAAGCTAAACCTGCCCTGCCTCAGTTTAAAAGCATTCCCCCTTGTCCTATCACCACCCACCCTTGTAAACAGCCATTCCCCCTCCTGTTTATACGCTCCCTTCAAGTATTGGAAGGCCATTATGAGGTCTCCCAGGAGCCTTCTCTTTTCCAAGCTAAGCAAGCCCAGTTCCCTCAACCTTTCCCCACAGGAGAGGTGCTCCAGCCCTCTGATCATCTAGTGCCCCTCCTCTGGACCTGCTCTAAGAGCTCCACATCCTTCCTGTACTGGGGGCCCCAGGCCTGGATGCAGTATTCCAGGTGGGGCCTCACAAATAGAGTAGAGGGGGACAATCACCTCCCTCCTCACTGCTGATTACCCCTTTTTTAATACAGCTCAGAACACAGTTGGCCTTCCGGGCTCCACGTGCACACTGCCAGCTCACTTCCAGCTTCTTGATTCTTGGCTTAAAAATTACAATGGCATTTTCAAGCTCAAGCTCTCAGGAAAGCTACTTAGGAAAGACTGCAAATAAAGTCATGTGCATTCCACCAATATAGCAAAATTAATACTGATATAGTGATCTGCAGTACTGAGAAACTCTGTAAAATGAATCACTAACTCAGCATCACAGGTTGCCAAGCAAAGGAGCTTTAAGTTATGGTGGGTTCTTTAATTTTAGCAAAAATAAATTCAGGTTTAAACTCTTACAATGATCAGGAACCAAGGAACCTTTTTCCCCCACCTCAATGTTTCTAATCAATGAAACATTCATTAGCATCAAAAAATAGTATATGTTTCTTGTAATTCAAGTTTTAAGAAGAAGTTATCACAACCACACAAAATACTCATGTGAAGGCATCTCCTCCTGTCTTCTTTTTAAGCTTTACTCACTCTGCAAACGTATTGACTTCGTGCTCCAGGTGAGAAGGTCTGGGAACGAACAATTGTGCTGCTGCGAACAAAAGCAGAACCCCGTGGCCTGCGGCTAGTTCTCTCTTTTGGAAGGATAGCAACTTCTTCAGGAAACAGATCCTCAGTATTAGTTTCCTTATCCACCTAAAATTACAATGAATGAATTTTTCTTTTTTTTTTTTTTCTGTTTTTCTTTTTTTCCCCTCTCCCTTTATTTCAACAACATCAAAAGTAAACAATTTGCCCTGTTAGCTAGGATAAAGTTTTAATGAGCCCTGAGAAACAGAGGATGAAGCACCTCATTGTCAGTAGTTTTAAAATTAGGTCATTCAAAATTGTAAGATTACTTTTCAGAAGCCTTTCCTGGAACAGTAAAAATTTTAAGATGCAGTTATAACGTGAATCATAGTTGTGGAAGACAAAGACTGCATTCACTGTTAACAAATGGGCATTAACTGAGCTACCACCTGATCTCCCAGCCTTGACAGAAAGAGAAAACTAAGCCACATTTCAAAAAGCAAGGTGACTCTGAAGCAAGTATCAACCTAAAAACTTCTGGAATTCAAACCAAGAAAAAAAAAACCTCAATAAAAGGGAACTAAAATATTGTTGAAACAATGACACAAGAACACACTTAAGATATTTGGAAATACAGGAAAGTTTTAAAATTTTAAGCATCTTTCTTCCTTTTCAGAACCGTAAGTTCTCAGAGCACTGGAATTTGATCATGATCTTTTATGTTACAATTTCAAGACAATAAATCATAGAATCCTACAATCACAAGGTTGGAAAGGACCTACAAATCGTCTAGTCCAACCGTCCACCCACTACCACTGCTACCATAAGCTACTAAACCATATCTTGTAGCTCCTCATCCAGATGCCTCATGAACACTGCCAGGGACAGCGACTCCACCACCTCCCTTAGGCAGGCCATTCCAGGGCCTGACCACTCTCTGAGAGAAGTTTTTCCTTGTATCTAATCTAAATCTCCCCTGGCGCAACACATTGATACAAGTGCATATTTAAAACTAGATGGAGGTAGCATTAAAAATACTCCTGCCTTTTAATGTAAAAGCTGTTCTATTCAGAAGTAACTAGCAAGAGAACAAAACAAAAACAAAAAACCCACAAGCCTGAAGAGGACATTTTTAAGAACTCAAAAGGCACATCACTGTCATCAAAGCAGTGCTCGTGCAGGACTGATAGTATAATTTCTTTTCTCTCCAGATCAATTTGGACTTAAACTCAACAAGCAGCAGTGTGCAGTTCCCGTACTCAGTGCCTTCTCTCATTACCTTTACTGGTGGAGGCTGGAGTTTTCCAGAACTGTACTGGCCAGCTTGAGTTGCAAACATGTGTCCAGCTAATGAATCCCCGCAAAATGGCTCCGGATAAGGAGGGCTAGTCTGGGTGCAATTACTGCATCCACTGTCAACAGATTCTGCTTGCCAACTCCTGAAGTCAGAACATGACAAGGATTTTGTAGGCATTAAAAAACAAAACAACAACAAAAAACCCACCCATCAAGTTATGGATAATAGTTGTACATTTCATTATCCTGCTCAGTTTATCAATTAGGAATATTATTGCAGTAGAAATACAGAATACTTGTGTTTCTGTAGATGCACAGATAAACAAATAAATTTCGTGACAAAAAAAATCAGCTTCCATAATTTTTTCCAAGTTTACATTCCAGTCTTTGTAACAGTCAAAGAAAGCAGTAACAAAAAGAAAAGCACAACTCATGTAACAAAAGAGGACTAATATTACTAATGAATTAGAGCAGTATGGCATATCTGCTCTGCAAGCATTGCAATGCATTTTTTTCATTCTCCCATGTCACTACATATATATAACTTTTTTAAAAAGTACAGTGCCATTGCCAAGTCATTGCAGTTGCCTCCCTAACAACGTTTCTGCTTGATTCAAAAGAAGTGTTCTCCCTCTCCCCAAATTTCAAGTCCTATAAACACAGCTAGCTATTCAAATGAGGCTTTTCTCCTGCTTGTGCATCATCACATGATAGAAGAATTTTAAACCCTTAGTACTAACAGGGAGCAAATCTCAGAACAAGGATCTGCTGCTTCTCCTGCTGTATTTCAGATCATCATTGTAGTGCAAATATTATTCCGCTGTTAGATTAGGTATTTTAACTACTATTTGTACCTTTCTGATATGGCTTCTGCCTGGTCTTCCTTTCTCTCCATCTCCAGTATTTCCTCCTCAGTGTACTCCAGTTTCACTCTCTCTTCTGCCAGCTCTCTCTCAACTGCTTCCAGTTGGGCAGTCGTCCTAGCTAACAGGGCTGTTACTGCATCCTGAAAGGTAAAAACTAGACTTCAGACAAACCTGTTTGTACAAGCTCCTGTATTTAATGCACATTATCCAGAGAAAACAATAGAAAAACACAATCATTGTATATTCCTATTAAAAAAAAAAAAAAAAAAGCCGCCCTGAATGAAAATGATCAAGAAATAATGCAATGTCTCATGCAAACTGGGCCATAAGTAAACACTTCACAGAATCACAGAATGGCCAGGGTTGGAAGGGACCTCAAGGATCCTGAATCTCCAACCCCCTTGCCACAGGCAGAGCCACGAATCTCCACATTTAACACTAGGCCAGGCTGCCCAGGGCCCCATCCAACCTGGCCTTGAACACCTCTGGGGAGAGGGCATCCATAACCTCTCTGGGCAGCCTGTTCCAGCACCTCACCACTCTCTCTGTAAAGAATTTCCCCCTGACATCCAACCTAAATCTCTCCTCCCTCAACTTAAAACCATTTCCCCTTGTCCTGCAGTTGTCAACCTTTCAAAGAGTTGATTCCCCTCCTGTTTGTAGGCTCCTTTTAGGTATTAAAGGCTGCAATGAGGTCACCCCGCAGCCTTCTTTTCTCCAGGCTGAACAAGCCCAGCTCCCTCAGCCTGTCTTCATCGTTGCACTGAGCAGGAGGTCACAAGCTAAGAAGTTGAGTCAGAACCATTTGTAGACTGGGAGACTTTATCTCACTATGAAACACCATCCAGTGAGTTAGATCCAAAGTCCATCTCTGGAGGTCAGCTAATCTGACATCCTGCTCTAAGGAAGAATAGCTTTAGAGTCACAGCAGGTTGCTCAGTGCCAAAATGCTGAAAAATCTCCATGGATGGAAACTGTACCACCTTTCTTGGCAGTCTCTCCTAGGGCAGTGGCAGGTTTTTTTAATGAGTTTTAGTGAGTTGAACTGGAGGTGTGCATACAAAAATACTCACAGTATATTTCAAGATCATGTTCAGACAGGATTCAGCTTTTAATTATTCTTTTAAAATCCAAGTCT